TTGCAGCCAAAACTCTGAGTATAAAAATTCACAGCTCAGATGAGGATGACAGATTTATTTCAGTAGGCCAGCAACTTAGACACAGACAAAACTTTTTCCATTTCTTTTTTCCATCAGCTCTACAAGCAGATCTGCTTCTATCCAGACAACAGTGATTACATCCAGACAAATCCCAGGCTTTTCCTTTTACTTGCCTTCCTTTGACAATGGTCACCCACCAAAACCAGTTCAAGAGCTACAAACACGGAAATAAGCAATTGAGTTACTACAGCTAACAAGTTACCTTTTGCCAGCTGACTCACAGAAACACTGAATCAACCAACCTCCTGATAGTTTAGGCAAACATTTTACTACTTAGTGCAATGAAGAACGCAGTCAAGCTACTATAGCCCAGATGATAATTTATAATCTTACTGTGGTAAATAAACTAGCTGGCGATCGTCTGTTCAAATGTTTTGCTCTGCCAGTATCACACTGAGTCAAATCTTTTGATTCCACCAAATGCCACAAGCCAAGTGCATTCCTGCAGTACAACTGCAACGCAGTTTGCAGTGAAGATGCAAAAAAACCCCTACATTTTTTTCCTTCTAAACCCCTTCTCAAGACAATTATCCTAATGAAAAATGCTACATTGAAGCTGTTCATCTCCACAGGCCAATTCAACACAAAAATATGTAAATGTATCTTTAAATAAGCACAAAAATCATCCTTTTTTCCTCATTCTTCCTGAGTATTGGGCACTGAACCTAGAATCTGAGGAGTCTAGGTTTAGTTCCCAGTTTTAATGCAGACTTTCTGCACCATCTCAAACTGTGCACAACACGGCTCTTTATGAAGCTATAAAATGGGGACGGTACTACTTTTGACACAAAGCAAGGTGAAATACATGCACCAGTGCTTCTATTTTGTAAAAAGCTCTATACAAATGACAAGGGTTGCATAAATAACTAAATATAAATATACACATCAGATTCACATCTGCCCCAGAACTCTGACTCTGTACGGTAGTCTACAGAGAAGGGTATTACCCTGATGCTTTCCCATCTAAAGCAAACAAATACCTGTGAGAGAACAGACAGCACTTCATCTGCAGATGAATTTTACCTGCTTTCAATCCTAGTTCAGAGCCAGAACATGCTGGGAGCAAACAAAATCCATTACAAGACAACAATTTATGACAAATGAGATCAATACATGGACTGAGGACCATTGAACAGGTTCCCCCATACACAGCAAGATGACAGAAACTACCATCACCCTTACAAACTCTTGCAGAGGTCAATTGGGTGACACAGAAACTTACTTGTTCTCCCACTGCTAGTGGCACTCTGCTCCGTGTCAACACACATCCTCCACACTGGCAGAGGAAGTTCTTACTGGCATTGTCTGAACTGTATCATTACAGTGCAATGACTGTCAAACCCTGTCTCATCAGCACAGAGTTCTCCTTATCAGAGAAGGGATGCACAATAGGGAAAGAGAATTACGTACACACAAGCAGTGTTTCTCCGATGCTCAGCATAAAAATCTAATCAAAATTGTACCAGAATGGTGATGTGAAAAGCACCCTGCCAAGTCAGTAATAAATATAAAATTCATATCTTACATTTCCACAATGTATCACCTCTCATTCCGCAGTACTTTACGCATTGTTGGGACTCAGATGAATCCCCAAATCAGAACAGATTTGTATTGGAATCTAACATTTTTTTGGCTTCACATTCATTCAAATTACAGCCCTAAGCGAAAGCAGGATAACAGGCACTTAAAATGGCCCCTTGAATGCGGCAGCAGCCATTTTAAATGGGGCCCAACTCCTTCCAGCCGCCAGACTGATTCCCTGAAGATCATCCCCCACCCACCTCTCACTCCTGAGCCCTGCATGAGGTCCTGTTTCCCCTCACATCCACTCTGTGGCAGAGGAAAGACAAAGTGGTTACTTCAGGGTGCATAAACAGTGGTTTCTCCCCAGTAGGCCCAACTGAGAATATCCTAAATCCAAACACAAACCATCTAATTTTGGAGATTGCAGCCACCAAAACCTGAGCAAGTCTCAGATTTAAAGACAATATAACCCCCTGTCTTTTTGATTTTCACCCTTCCCAAGCAATACCACTGCACAGGTATTACACACAGCATCTACAGAGATCAAGAACTCCGCAGGAGTTGAGCAATCAGCAATAGTAACAGCTTTTCCTTTTCTGAAGATCTTGTGAACTGGGAGAAAAGTAGAGATGGCAAGGAGTGAAAAGTCATAGTCCACCTCCCTGTGGCTCATTATCTTAACACCCATCACTAAATTCCTCCTGACAGATGCATTTGCCAACTAATCTGATGGGAATACTGAGCAGTGCCATTCTTTCTTGTCCTATCAATATGGCTATATGACAAAACTGCACTGATTTTTTGGCCCAAAGTTTCACATTCTGAAAGACATCTGCATAAAAGACAGAAGGTGTTAGAAACCATGAAGAGCACTGCAAGTGTTAATAGCAGTAGGTAACTTAAGACAGAAATACTGATTGTAGTCCTTCAAGCATACCATATATAATCACTGCATGTCCAAGTAGAAAAAGCATCTTCTAAACGCTCAGCTAAGACTAAGGTGTCTAAACAAAGACCAGGTTTTCATGACTGTTCAAAAGCCTTGAGCAGTAGGTGTTCAGTTGTAAATTCTGACATTGCCTCTAACAAGCCACAGATGATCTCAAGCCCCTTTGCCTCATCACTAGTGGTAGCACAGCTAACTCAAGACGGCAGCAGTTCACTGCTTTGTAAGGTTTCCCTTAAAGTTTTGGAGATCTTCATATTTTTCATACTCATATCTATTCACTTCTTGGGGCACTGTGTACACAACAAGTTGGAAGAAAAAAACCCCTTGGAAGCCATAATATGAATGGCATAAAGTGGTCCCCTCAAAGCAGGAAAAAGGAGTTAGTAATACTTGGAGATGCTTCCAAAAAGAATTACATTATAAAGGTAGGAGTCTTCTGTAGCTCCAAGTACATTTATCTGTATCTACACTGATGAAATCAGGACAGTTATTTCACCTCTGGCAGCAGAAACACAGCTACAGCAAAGGCAGGAATTGGCTCCTGACATTAAAAAACACCCCAAACCCTTCCACAATGTCATTTAGCTTTACAACGAAACGATAAACTATGCATCATTTGTCTTCCTTTTTCTAGTACAGATAAGGCCCTAGAACAGCATCACCTAAACTGTGGTCCAGAGGTTACTGCTGGCCTGTGAAGCATAATAGACAGTCAGCGCAGTGCCCTATCTGCAGACAACACCCTGCAAGCCACAGCAGCCAGTAAAACTGCCTGTCCATTGCCCCGTGTCATTTTTCTCCTTATAAACTCTGCATGTTTTTATGCTTGCATGACAGATAAGCATTTACATCTACATATAAACCATTGTCCAGAGTGCATCTGTAGTGACCAAGGGGAAGAGACAGTATGAGACCCTTCCTGAGAGAACCAGCCATCACACCTGAATCATCAGCGTTGGGTACTCAGAGCCATTGCAGTGACACAGGCTCAGGAGATGCAGGATGCAGTTTCCTGGAGAAGACTGTTGTGACAGCTACTTCTGTGTACAGGTGGGCACTGCTGGAGGCAAATAGCTGCACTTGCTGCATGTACTTACAGTATTATTAGTAGTCTCTAGAGCAGACAAGCCTCAAATTATTTTGGTTGCGACCATACCAGAAAGCCAGTATTTAGCTGTGGGCTAAACCTGCTCAAAAAATACCCCTGACAAAACAGAAGATTGCAGAAGAGCAACAAGTGCATTATCAAGAATCAGAAGTAATTTACAAACACAAAAACTAAATAGGAGATCTCACTAAACAATGACCAATGAGCTAGGAACTGAACTGTCTACAAACCTCTGAGAGGCACAAACTAAAAAGAGGATCCTTCAGTGCCACCTGAGTATTCAACACAACCTCACCGTTGCTGCATGGGGAGAAGAGGACAGACCTTAACAAGAGACATATGGTCTTGTCTTCTCAGGAAAACATTGGAAATGCAGTCACTCAGGACAGGTAAAACTAAATTGAATGCAAACACCAGAAAACACATGGAAGGAAGTATCACATCTACTGGATTTTGGTCATGCGTGGAGCTAGGTAATCAGATCAGTGGGGTGGGGGGTTTGCTGTTGCTGGCTAAAGGATATTCAATTCCACAGCTAAACTGTGACTTACTCTTCACAGCCACCTCGCTCGTGTCTAACCAGGCTCCAGTGGGGGTCGGTCCCTGTCACACAGGACTGTGACGCTCCTACAGTGTCACAGTGACTACTGTGACTGCACCTACAGTGCAGTGAAAGAGGTTTTAGGCAGAACCTCCATTCTTGACTCTGCCAGGATAATCAAATAACTGCTGAATCAGACTGGTTGTTTGTTTTGCTTATGATTTATTTACTTCAACAAGTAATTAATATTTTAAGTAGAAAAGGTCTTTGTTAAAGATTCACCACATTCACCCCTTCAATTAATGTTTTAAACGTCCACATTCATGGATTCATTTACACCTCCCACTTGTCCTTCAGCAATGCCAGAAAAGATCAGAGTTTACATTCCTGGCATCTCAAAAATAAAAGGGAAAGGGAAAATAAAACCAAATCCTCCAGAACACAGCAAAATCAAAACCTACATCAACCAAATCACCAAAAAAAACCCCAAACCAAACCAAAACAGCCAAACCGAAACCAAACCTAAACCTACCGGGTCTTCCATCCATCTCCAGAAAGAAGAAATGGTGTCCGAGCTGTTTAGAAATATCTCACCTCCCACATGCAATACAGCACCTGTAAGATGAGTTAGAGGAGTAGCTTGGGCAACTGGGGCATCACCAGCCACTGGAAGAGAAGACCTGAGCCCCTCAACCTGGACATGGGGCTGAAAAGTCTCACACTGTGGCTCTGCACCCCAGTGTGGCCAATGCAGAGAGGCGTGGGGTGGGGTGGGGGGATCTGGCACCCCTCAGTACCTGCAAGAGGGCCCAAATACTTCTGCTGTGCCCGCAGTGAAGTCCATGTACCCTGGTGATGGGCAGGTACCACCGGAGTGGCTGGGATATTTGCATATGTTAATTGCAATGTCAAGGTGTTTGTGCCTGCCGCACTCACTTCTTCAGGGGGAAGCAGCAACGACAGGATTTGGATCTACCTGTGCCGTGCTGGTGACGTCACAAGCAGCTATTTCCAGCCCTGTTGCCATGGAAACCACCAGGCCTCAGCACCAGTTAGCAGTTCAATATATAATTTACTTATTCTTTTTCACCTAAGTGATTAGGACTCAAAATACAGAAGCATTTCACACACCCTCAAATCATCTGATTGTTTCATAGGAATTTCTCAAAGGTGAAAACCAGCCTGAAATAGTGAGCTGGGCACTCTCCAGGGGGGAAAAACCCAAGCGAACAAAAGCCTAAACAAAATTTTAAAAAATCCACCCTTTCCCTGCTTCTTCCCCTGCTGTCCCAACTTTCAAGGGAAACGTTGTGGCTCCTGGGAGATTTCACAGTGCTGTCACCATCTGAAGGAGATGAGCCAACAGTGAAGGAGGAGATAAAAGCTTAGCACAGGAGCTGCCACATCTGGCAGCGCCTTTGGTCCGTCCTGCCCAGGACACCAGAGTCCCCTGTGTCCTCCAATGCCACTGACAGGGCACAGCGCCTGCCTCATTCTGTGCCAGTGGTGACGGGCAGCACCAGCATACTCAGCAAGTCTCCCCTGGCTCCCGTGAGTGCATTAAGGAACAAGTCTCTCCTCCTTATTAATGTTAGCAGGAGTGCTTAGGGGTGCTGCTAAGCAATGCAACACCTACCAGAGCCCTGGGGAAGGCAGCTGCTCCATCTCCACCCCTTCTTACAATTCAGGATTGCAGTGGTTGCCCATATTTTCCACAACTTTCTTAACTAGTGCTGCGGTCAGAGGTGAGGTGATTTCTCTGCTTTTCCACTGCCTAATTAGTCACTGCAGAAGCTTATTCGAGACCCAAGGTTACACTTTAGCATACTGCTTTCATTGAGAGAAAATAGAAATATTTTTACAGGGAGAATTTTCATGTGATCCATCTGCCTTCAGGTAGTTTCAAAGTATCAGTCTTAATGTTTCTTATTGTGCTTCATTATATTTTAAACCAGTGTTTTTTAAAATGGGAAGTTTTAACCATTAATTTTGAGAACCAGCTGCTTTATGGCTGAATCACACAGTCTGGCAGAACAATAGGAACAGCAGCTCTCCCCAGCCCCCTCGTTTCAACCCAGCATGGGCTATCCCACTCTTATTTCCTGAAACAAGTCATCACAAACCATCCCTGCTCATCCCTTCTCCTCACCTGTCCTTCCTCACACAGACTTGACAGCAGGGAAAAGGGGACAACCAGCACCGAGAACAACCAAACAAGGCCAAAGGAGTTATTGGGCACAGTTCTAAATCAGGTACATTACTCTCTAAACATTAAAGACAGGAAGACAAAAAACCCACAGGCAACAAACTTTCTGTAGCTACTTTTTGTTAATGTTTTAAATGCTTTACATGTTAGGACTTGTTCTCTACAACACAGGACAGTAATTTGAAAGCTAGCAGGACAAATTGGCAGGGGACTATGCCAAGCCGTTAACACAACAGTTTGAGGAACTATTTTCTAGGGAAAGGAGGGTGCTATCAGACACCATTATGACCTCGAAGAACAAACTTTAGAGATCTTCCTACTCCAAATTATTTAATGTGATAATCTAAAGTGTTCAGATGCTTTAAAAAAAAAAAAAAAGGAAGCCTCATTTTGCCCTAAGTTTAGAAAGATAAGGGTAATGGCTCAAAAGTACAAATCTACAAAGCTAAGTGAATTGAACAAACCCTTTTCCTTATTCCATCCTTTTGCTTTCTTCCAACTCCTTGACTTAACCCACCTTTCTACAAATCACTACTTTCATTTGCGCTCCACTTCCTTTCCTCCTTTGATCTGCATCTCCTTTCCTCTCACTTTCTGAATAATTCTTTCCATTCTTGCAGCTCAACAGTAGCCTCCTGCCAGTACCTCTCAGTATAAACTTCCCCCTTTTTTTTTCTGTCACTAGTCCCTTTCTGCCCCTTCATGCTCTTTATCCTAATTCTGCTAGGTAGCAGGTGTGTCCCCTCTTCTCTAATGTTAAGATTCTCCTACCAATATCAACTATATTAAACAAGCAGGAGCTACCCCAATTTCAAAGATAATGCAAGTAAAAGATAAATTTACAAGTGACTGAGCAAAGGTCACATGGCAAGTCAGTAGTATCATATGGAATAAAATGCAGAGTCAGGCTGATCTGTACATGGGCCACCTCGTAGTCTGAAGTGGATCACAGCACTGACCAATTGAAAGAGATTTATCTCAAGTCTAAATCAGAAACAGCCACTGAAAAAAAAAAAAATGTTGTTTGGCTGTACGTTGAAACTGTGATTAAAAAGATGATTAACTGTTTCTATTTTTGAAAAAAAAAACAACAAAACACCAAAAAAAAAACCCCACCTCAACCCAAACAACAAAGCATGTCTTTAAAACCCTTTTGCTACAGTAACTCATTTCACACAGGGAACAAGGCAAGAAAAACATGTTGCAGTGAGTTTAGCAATGGGAAAATGACTGATACTTCAGACTGAGCTGACAGCTGACTTAAGAGTCATCACTAGGGCTAACATCTTCCTTTTTCCCCACAGCCTCAGTGGTCTGGCATGTCTCAAAACTTGAAGGAAAAAAAAAAAAACCAACCCTGCTGTTTTCATAGAAAAGTAGCCAAAGAGCCTGTTTGGAGGATGAAGTCAACTACATATGGTTCTATTTATTTGTTTGTTTTGGGGTGGGGAGAGGGAGTCAGTGGCAAATTCTCAGCCCTAACAACCAGCTCACAATAAAAGCTTACGAAGTCAAGAGTTCCTCAAGGAAAAGAAACACTCTTAAAGTTTGTGTTTATTACATAAATGCCAACATATTTGCAAGATTCCAAAACTCGGGCAGCATCCAGCTTGAATGATTAAAGAGTATTTCTCCCTGAGGATTTGAATCCAGCCCAGATAAACTGTAATCCAAAACTGCCTTTGGATAGCAGGTCAATACAATTTACACAAAACCCCCTCTCTGTATACAGAGGTGATACAAAACAGGTACACCAGGCAGGTCATGTCCTAATGCACACTTAGACCTCTGCACCACAAACCAAACCCAGCTGCATTTAAATGCATGACCAAAGCTTTCTGCATTTTCTTTTAGTGGGGGGGGAAGAAAAAATATCTCCCTTAGAAACAAAATTACCCCTTCTCTGCGCTTTATGAGTGGGAATTGACGTAGAAAAAGGCAGGAAATGAGATAAGGTTACTTTTTTCCTCATTTTCTGTATTATGACCACAATGCATACATACATTTCTACATTTAAGAATATAACCACATACTCATATATAGCTGCATCTCATGCAAGCACTGGTCACTTGGGAAAACTTAGAAATTCAAGAATTCTGTGACTCTGACTCTACAACCATTACCAGCTGGGAGCTAACATACATTTCTTTTTTTGTTCCTCCTAAAGCTTTGAATTATAATTTGCTCATTAGCCTAATAAATATCTCATCCTTGTGTGGCCCATAACAGCAGAAAGAGCAGTTATTACAGCAGTTCCTCACTGCAGCAGGGGAAGCTTGTCCGACCTCAGCATCCCTCAGCACCTTAGGCAAACATGGATCCAGCATAGCCACAATCCTCATGGAGCTTTCCTGCTAACTCAGACACAGGAAAGCAAAAGGTGTGACCCTTCTCTCTCCGGAGTGCACAGCGATTTTTCTCCAGTTGCAAGAGAAAAACCCCATCCCCAGGGGTTTTCTCCATCTGCTCTGGGTAAGAGAAAATTAACAGTCTGTGGCACAGGGGCAATATGTGCTGTAAAAAAGGTTCACTAGCTCAAGTGCCTTGGTTGTGCTGAACATTTCAGTTGTGACCAACATAATTTCCTGTCATTCCACTTTTCCCAAGTTGCCTCTACATCTGTCCTGAATCTATGTGAAACTCCTGTTTATACTTGGTAGGAAAACTAAGACATACTAACAGTTAAGAGATTTTTTTTTTATTTATTTCTAAAAAGCTTCACAATTAATATAAAAATGACCCCAAAATAATAAGTCTGGTTTGGGGATTTTTTTAATTGATTTTTTTTTGTTTTGTTTTTCTTTTCTCCTCCCCCCCCTTTTATTTTTTTGTTGGTTTGGTTTTTTGTTTGTTTTTTTGTTTTAGGTTTTGGGGGTTTTTTTAAGAAAAGAAAGCTGAGATTGTGATTTTGATTCTGTTGAAAACTCCCCTGGCCCATTCCCAAAACATATGCCTGATGAGCAGAATGATGACTCTCCCAAATGTACTAAATGGGGCAATTTTGGGACTTCTTCCAAAATCTCTTTCCATCTGTCCATCTTCTGCCCAGCAATTCACCATCTCCCCCAAATCTCTAACTCCACCGCATTCTTCAGCCCTAGCATTGACATTTATCTCTGTTCCACATTAACCCAGTCACATCCCATCTCTGAGCAACACCTTTGCCCTTCCTGAAGTTGTTTCCTTTCACAGACACGACACCAATTAAGTTCTCCCGTTTACCATTCCCAAAGCCAGGTGTTTCTGGGGCAGAACCCACTGCTGGCAAAAGGAAGAGGGATAATTCTATATCACATATCTTTGTTTTCTGCTGCAAAAACAGGCATCAATCCAAAAAGCAGATGCATCAAGTTCTGCCTCTTCTACACCAGCTCACACGAGCTCCAATAGTTGACCTGTCCCGTTTGTCTTTGGGATTCCTTTATAAGCAAGGCTGAACCCTCTAGCACCATTATCTGACTTAATCCAGCCCTGCTGAAGTCCCATCGCTTGCCTGCACAAAACACGGAAAGAACTAGCGCTGATCTTAGACCCCATACTACCAATGGTCCCTGTACACAAGTGAATTAAGTACTAATATTGCAGATGCCCAGAAGAGGTGCCAGAAAGACTCTTCTGCCTGCAGCAGGTGAGAGACCCGCAATTTTCCGGGGAATCGGGCTTTTTCCTTTATCCTTCTGATTTACAGCGCGATCAATAGGTTTCTGCCCATTGCTGCCACCCCCTTTAGTTTCAGAATTGATGGGCGGCAGCGCTCCAGTGCTATTGTGTTACAGACAAACTGCGAAATGCCACCGAGGCTGAGTCACGCACAGTCAGCACAGCACGACGGGCCGGCAGGGTTGGAAGGCTCTGCACGGACCTGGCCGAGCCAAGGCATCCCGTCCCCGCCTGTCAGCAGCCCTTGCCAATGCCATTTCTTGCCCCGCAGAGGTTTTGACAGCACAAATTATTCTTAGGTCTCTCTCCCTCTCGCACATGTATACACAAACACGCGTTCCGTCGGATCACTTCTCAGCCCGCGATAGCCTTATCACACCCTCATAAAGCTGGGAAGTACTATTAAATGGGGATAACAGGAGAGGGCAACGGCAGGAAGCAGACGAGCTAGCTAAATGAGCTGAAAACAAGTTGTCAGATAACACGTCAAGACAATCCAAGTCCTTACTTCTGCTGAGGGGGGCAAAGAAGCCCCTCCTGCCTCTTTTCCCTCAGCACATTTCCCTGACTAGATCTGGCTGAAAAACGTCGTCTGTACTTGGCTAGTTCACCACAGCATACTTGCAGCAGTAACAAGGAATGTGGGAGACAACTGGGTCCGTTCCATTTGGTAACTGTGCTGATCTCTATCTACGTCAGCCTATCACAAAGCCATGCCCTTAAGAACAACCTGACACCTGCAACCCAAATGCCACTATCGCTCCATCTCCGGGCCGTAGGTTTCAACTCCAAATGGTGAACGGCATCGAGTAAGTGCAAGCCTTTCATTCGGGTCCTTCCATCTGCTTCCCTTCCCCCTGCTCAGTCGGAAGGGGTTCAAACCTAATTCCTGCCTTCCTCATCAGACGCCCACAGCCAGAGTTTACAAAGGGAAGCCCTCCAGCACATCCTCTTCTGGAGGTGCAGAGAAGCTAAACAACGTCATCAGCAGAGGCAGGCTTGGGTTTCAAGTGCAGCAAGTCGAGTCCTCATGCAGCACGTTCCCTCCAGTGGGATGGCCTATCTTCTCCCCTTTCCCTGAACAACACGTGTTCTAAACGAGGCTGCAGCCACAGCACTGCCAGGACCACTTAATACAAACCTGCAGCTAGAGAAACAACTATTTAGTGCACCATATCAACAAGTACCTGGTTCATAACTTGATGCCCAATCCTGCCCTTTCAACTTCCAACATCTTTTGAAGGCATTTTCCAGGAACAACTTAGAGTAAAACAGCTTCCAAAGCCAAACAGACTTAAGAATGCCTTAATTACACTGCAGCAGGTGACACACCTTTTCAAAGCTTTAAGGAAACAAAACACAAACCAAAACAAGCTTCTCCTCCCACTCCTCGCAGAATGATATGAAGGCACAGCAGGATCCTGGCTGCTGGTGAGAAAGCCAGTTTCCAAAGCCATTTCCCCACCTGCCATCTCCGGGTGTGAGTGAGAAGCAGGATCTATTTCATAAAAGACAGCCATGAAAAAACCTCTCTGCCCCACTGCACTATCCCATCAGGAGTAAAGGCTTTGCTCTAGCTCAGAGGACAGCCTTCGTGCTGGCAGGCTAGGGGATATTCTGGGCAGCTGGACAACACCACATTCCTTTCCCTGTGAAACTTGTATGAAATGCTGAGTCTTAAGACAGACACTTACTAGTGTTTAAACTAACACTTTCCAAAAGAGAGAAAAACCCCACATTTAATCAATAGTCCCAACTGGCTCAAGTGCTCGTATCTATAATGCAGGGAGAAGAGAAATGCTAAGAGGCGCAAAGACAGGGAAAAGGGAGTATTTTCAGATTAAATGAGACATGAGAAATGACAAAATGGTCAGCAAGTGCCTTCCAAAGTCACACAGCTGTACAGGAGCTTTTTGTACCAGAGAAGTGATTTTATAGCAAGCCAGAAAATAAACTGCTGTCTCCAAAGGAGCGCAAGGTATGGCATGTGAAGAGAAAGTAAAGGGAAGCTCAAGCTGCTCGAGCAGCTGTAATGCTTTGACTGGAACCAGCAGATGATAAGCTATAAAACACATTAGCTGGATGGATGGGGTAAGTATGAACAGAGGAATCCAGTGCCTGCAGTTCTGGCAGGAGGCTTCCTGGATACTTGGACATGGAGGACAAGTGAAATTTCTTAGATGCAGGCACCACCCAGGAGGAGGTCCTGCCAAATTGCAGTCTCTGCAGCCACAGGACAGAAGCACATGGAGTTCCTTTGACAGTCCAGAAGACAGACTGGCCAGTATCTTAATTCAATTAGACTTTTGCAAAGATAACAAAAATATCCACAGTGGTATCAGACACAAAATCAGTTATAAACTAGCGCAGAGCCTTACATTTTGAAATGTATGAAAGCCAACTGACAGATATAAAGAAGCAGCTTCTCTCTTAGGGTCATTGCTGCAAATTATCCACACTGGAATAGTTCTTCACTTTCCAAGAACACCTGGTGTCAGCTCTGGCATCATAGGCAGCTCCAGTGCCCAAGACAGGGTATCAGACCGAATGGGTCAGTGGGTCCAACAGTGGGGCAGTGTTTCTGGCACTTTACCATGGGCATAAAGCAAACCATGCAGCAACACATGAACCGTGACACCCCACACACTGATGATCCAGCAAGATGCCACCACAGTAAGAGGCTTAGAAGAA